CTTCCTGCTCTTCAGGGGCTGGCAGGGATGCTTCATCAACACCCTCATCACCAAATACTTCTTTTCCCTCTCCTCCTTCCACTTCCAATACCCTCTCCATGTCATCTCTGTGCCTCTCTGTTTGTGCTGCCTCTCCAGCTCCAGGGAGCAAAACCTCCTCTCCTCCCAACACACCATTCTCAAGGGTTTCCTTGCTTAGTACATTAACCTCTCTAACATCTTCTGCTTCCAGCTCAGGCTCCTCCACTCCCTGAGGCCTCTCTGCCCCGATTTTCAGGCTCTCTCTACTTTCTGGAACACCCACTGATATGCAGATCTCACTTTTCACAATCACTGTCCCACTTTCCAATGCCACCTTCTGCTCTTTGGTACCTTCCACTCCATCGACTGCAATACGCTTGGACTCTTCTTCTGCCTCACTCATCATTTCCTCTCTTTCTCTGAACCCACTCTCAAGGTCACCAGCATGTTCTGGCATCAATAATTTCACTTGATGCTTGTCCTTGCTCATAGGAGTGACTTGCTCTCTTCCAAACTCAGCATCTCTTTCAATCTTGATGGTTGCCTGCTCAGTATAAATCTGCTCCTGCTCCTCCACATGCAGCACATCTTCTGCATCCTCCAAGAGGAGGTTTTCAGGTCCCATCACCACCTCCCCATTCTCCAAAGCAGTTCTGGGTGGTTGAATCTTTTTGCTTTCTTCTTTTGAAGGAGCAAATTGAAGCTCAAGCTGCTGCAAAGCCAAACCATTGCAAGGTTGGCTGTCAAGAGCTGTGATTGCCTCTGTCTCCTCAAAGCTTTCACTCTCTTCCAACATCTGGGCACAGGCTCCATTTTCTTGGGTTTGGATGAGAGCTTTAGTGAGATTGTTCAACTCTCCATCCACTAAGAGCAGCTTCTGGCCATCATGGATGTTGATGTAGCTGTGGGTCATCAAGTGGAACATCAGCCTTTCATCATCACTCCTTAGCAGAGGGTCCCTTGGCTCTTCCTGACCTGTGGGACTCCTTCCAGGAGAACTCTGGCCTGGCCTGCTCCTGCTTGGAGAGCCAGCCATGACATCAGGTATGATTGTTGATTTCAACTTCTTCGCCACATCTCTCTCCAAGATGCCTTGCTCAACTGCTTTCTGCCAGGACAACACCTCAGTGGTTTCTGGTACGAAAACAGCCTTAACGAGCTGCCTCTTGCTGAGAATCTTATAAACCAGCTCTGTGGACACCATTCCTTGCTCCAAAGCATCTGCAGCCGGGATGATCTCACCTGTCTCTGGCCACAGGAGCCCCATGAAGGACCACAGGGATTCCAGGACCAGCAATGCAGTCTTTGGTGCTACCAACTCCCTCCTTACAGCTTCATCGATGGTCAACCTCTCTCCTGTGAGGGTGTCGATGATCCCACCTGTCTGAAGCTGTCGGATGAGAAGTGTGCAAGCCAAATCCTGGTCAATTAAATTATGTCTCACAGCCTCATCCACAGTCAGCCTGTGCCCTGTCCTGGGGTCAACAATGCCACCAGCAAAGAGGTGTGTTTCCAGCAACCTGACTGTCACCTGCCTGTCTATCAGCCCTTCCTGGACTGCACGGAAGATGCTGACCTCTCTGCCTGATTTCAAGCTCACCATCCCACCTGCCAGCTGCTTGACTGGGAGCAGCCTCAGCCCAGTCTCCTGGTGGGTGATGCATCTGTCCATGAGCTCAGGCAGACTGATTTTCTCAGCAGTGTTGGGGTCAATCAAATCCTTGTCACCTTCCAGGTGAGCCAGAAGTCTGGAATAAAGCTGAGGGGTAAGAAGTCTTTCTTGCACTGCTGTCTCCATGCTGATTCTGCCCTGGTGGACTTTAAAACCCCCAGTGATGAGTTCAGCCACAAGAATCTTTAGCCCAATGCTCTCACTGATCCTCCTCTCTTCGATCGCAGCGACCACAGGTAGGAGCTGCCTCCCTTCAAGTCTGACTTCTTCCACCTTGTGAAGAGCATCCTTCAATTCCTGCAGCACCTGGAAAGTCCTGAGATCGATGATGTTTCTTGCCAGACCTTTCTCCAAAGAGAGTTTCTCATTGGTCTCTGGAACAACTAAGTCAGATGTGATAACCTGAGCCTCCAAGAGGGCAAGGCCTGTGTCCTGATCTATAAGACCTCTCTGCATGGCAACAAAGACAGGGAATATTTCTACTGTGCCAAGATCGATCACTCCTGCCACTGCTTCGCTGCCCTAGAAAAGAAAGAGAAGGCAAAGAATTAGATAAAAATCAATCATTTCCAGCAGTTCTGGGAGGCCTCAGTTTCCCTAAAAAAATAGCTTAAAATCCCTAAACAGGCTAGAAAGCAAATCCCAAAGGGTTTGAAATGCAACTCCAAGGGCATCACAGCACAAAATTTGGGGCATTTTCTAGCTTGCACATTGCCAGCAAGTTCTAATGCTCAGCTAGTCCATCACCCAGGGCAGCACCAAGATGCTTCCAACATCCACCACCGGCAACGCAGCAAAGCGGCAAGCGCTGACACCCAGAGGTGCTCCTAATGCTCCACGGGAAAAGAGGGAAGGAGACCAACAAGCCAAAGCCCTTGACACCCAGAGGTGCTCCTAATGCTCCATGGGAAAAGAGGGAAGGAGACTAACAAGCCAAAGCCCTCCAACAACTCCAGTTTTCCAAAGCAAAGACAGGACAAATCCCATGGTGAATTCTCAGAGTAAACCCCTCAAGTTGCTCACTTCAGGGTAAGTAGGAACTTCTCCCACCGCAGCCTCCATGCTGATTCCTGCCATGCCATAAATCCTGAACTTCCCAAGCAGATCTCAAGTGCCAGGGAACACCACAGATGCCCATGCCATGGAGAAGCTCCCAGCCAAGCACCAGGGCAGGAGTGCAGCTCCCTGAGCATGACCACAGCACCAGCTCTGCCCACTCCAGCACCTCAAAGCTGCTCCTCAAGCAGGGCCAGAGGAGAAATGGAAGAAGTTGGAGGTCCCAGCATGGAAACAGGGAACACACCATCTACTCTTGTGTTTTTGGAAGGGCTTTTCTCTTCTTGCTGCTATCCCCACAGGGAAGGTAATACTTTACATAATAAAGACTATCTTTGTCCAAAGGCTCTTTGGATGTTTGGGTTTCTCCCAGTCCTACTCGTTAGGTACCAAGCACTAAAAGATTTCTGTGGGGATAGCAAGGAGGGAATCAGGATTATGGAGTGTATTCCTTTACATGCCAACACCCTGCTGTGGGGACAGGGGGGGAAAACCTTCTGGGACAACCTAAACTCTCCACCACCATCGCCAGGCTCTGACATGCAAGTTCAGAGATGAACAAGGCATGGAAAGACAGAGGAGAGGGAAAAGGGGAAACATAATAGAAAGCTCAAAAACGAGATGGATAGGAGGGAGGGGAGTAAAAGGCTTTTACTTACCGAGTTGCAGGGTGTGCCTTGAGCAGTTAAAGACAGAGCCTTATGGAGCAGTTCAGCCGTATCACACACAGTGTAAAGCTTGGTGTTAGCGTCCAGCATGCGACTGTTTTGTTTGCAA